CACTCATGGGGGCTGGGGGAGCAGGCAGGGGATGGGGCCTGGCAGGGGTCCCCCCATGGTCCCCTCCCTCTTCCTCCAGCCCCCCTCCCCCTACTTACCAGCTCCGAGTCCAGTTCCATGCTGCAGCAGGCAGGGACTACCTGAATCATTGAAGCTCTCTAAATCTTTTCCAAATTGATTCGAAGAGCTTCATATTCATTCGGACCTATTTATTGGTCCCCTGATTCAATTTGGATTTGGAGATTCAGCCACTGAATCAGGCCGAATCTCCTCTGAATTGAATCACCACCTGAAGCTTTGCCCAGCCCTAGTAATTACTGTTTCTTGATGCCTGGGCATAAGATTTTCTCTAATCTCAGATAAGGGAATTCCTCACAGTCTGCTTCCTCCAATGTACTTCTTAGGATGGCTGTTCCAAGCCTTCTCCATCAGTTTTACCATTGAGGAAACCCGAGGCTGGAATTCATGATTTTGTTTTCACACGGAAAACTGTTCCATAAAGGACTGCAGCTTCTTGTCAGCTTTTTGCTTGCTGAGCTTGTGGGAGAGAGTTGGGAGGTTTCAAAGCACTATTGCTATAGATGCGATCAGTATGCCATCAGTTTTCTATTTGTTATTTGAACAAATAATTTTTGCCAGAGGCAACCTCTTCTTTCTTCTTCTGTCTGTGTTGCTGTATTACAAGCTCTTCATCTTTTAGTGATATGAAATAAATGGCTTAGCCAAGGAGTGTCAAAGGTCATGAAGCCAAAGCCCAAAAAGGGTTTTCATCCAAAGAGGGAGGGACAAACTTCTAACCCTGCAGGAATCCCAGTAGTGGACAGTTTGTCACTTCACATATAAAGCAGCCTCTGGGTTGGCAGAATCCTAGTCTACTACTTTTACCCTCTGAGGTATGGATTTAGTGACACATTGTCCTGACATTTACCACTATACCTATGCAACCAGGGGTGGGACCCAGGATTAACATATGTTGCTTAGACTATATACATTTAAAGCACGTCAAGCCAGGATGAGTGTGGCAAAATAAAAAACAAATCCTTGTTAATTTGAGGGGAAAACATATTAATTGAAAAAAAGTTAAAATATCAACTCCCCCCCCACCCTGAAAATAATTTTGAAAATGATTTAAAAATTTGTCTTATGGAAAATGTCAGCCAGCAGTAGTGTTCTTCGCTGGGTTTGAACGGAATTGGGTGCATCTACATGTACATATTAATGTAATGCAATAAACTCTAGTGCAGTTTCTCCCAGGCATTGAGTTTATATGTGCACCCAGGACTAAAACACACTGAGCTGGGTTGGAGCAGCCCCAGCTGGCAGGGGAAACGGGGATCAGTTTGCCAGTCTAGAGCTGCTCCAGCCCAGCTCAACGTGCTGCAGAGGGGTTGGCTAGGGCACGAGGAAGCGTCAATGAAACTATGAAATGTGGGGCTAGCCAGCACACAGCCCTCACACTAAAGCACCCTTGGACTCCAGCCAGCTGGGTCAGTGTCTACACATGCGATGCTATGCACAAATAAACTCTGTAGTAGGATAGTATTTGTATTTACACATACTAACCTGCTGTGGAGCTTATTAGTTTCCTGTGGCTTAATAGGGCCACGTGTGTAGATGCCAAGATGTTTACTGTGTAGCTAATTAGTCCACTTCACAGTAAACATCTTGTGTAGATGTGCCTACAGAGTACAATCTGAGCAGAGTGTGAGATGGCAAAGGAGCACTTTTGCCTGCCTGAAGAGTTAGGAGAACATGGTTTGGTATGAAGGTCCTAAGGGTTTCATTGCTGTATTCATCATTGACACCCCCTGCCCCTTTTGTACGTTTTCTCTGACCCACACAATCCACATCCTGGACACAGCCTGCTAGGCTCCTCTCTGGTATTTGCAGTTGACTTGCAGGGATATATCCAAGACAGCTTTTGAGCCTTACATGAGCAGGCATTACATGTTGCTGCCCAGAACTGAGCTTTTTCCAAAGGGCCTTAAACTTCCCAAATAGCCTTTTGAACCAGTGAGTCTTTTCTAATGAGTTAGAGGTGAGGAAAGAGTCTCTGCTGCAGTCTGAACGCAGAAGGGTTTTTTTCATTTTGCTTTCGCGTATTCTGTTGTTTCCACATTTTTCAGAGTTTTTTTATCTTTTCATATTTAAAAGGAATCCTTTCCATTAATATAGACCTTTAAATAATTTATGATCAGAACCAAAGTAAATATTGCTTGGTTAAGGAGGGCTTTAAGGTTAGAGTCACAGTAGTCTTATGAGATCAGCTATAGAGAAAAAAAATGGACTCGCCTTATCCTACACATCGATCTGTGTGATCCATTATAGGAAATGATCATTTTGAAAATGCTTGGAAGTAACACATTACAGTTGCCCATTGCCATCACATTCTCACTTTGACCTATTTTAGCAAGTTTGTTCATCAAACAGTCCAGTGAAAGCTCAGTGTAACACCTTGTCCCAAAGGCTTTCCTAATATAGGTGAATAAAGTAATGTGTGGTTTTCACCACTGCTGGTAATAGAGCTGTTGTCCCAGGTGCCAGCAGGAGGAGAACTTCATTGGTTACAAGGGGTAGGGTTGAAATAGGATAGAGCAATATCAGAGAGCTCACATAGAGCAAACTCGCATGGTGGGGTAGCTTTTGATCATGCATGTGAGTTATTGCAAGCTTTATATCTAGTTAGATCTCAGGTAGCTTACTCACAAGTATCAGCCAGAGGCAGGCAGTTCATTGATCATGAGTTTCAAGAGAGAGCAAGTTTCAGATGGTCCAGCTCGTCTCTGAGATTTCATCATGGCGGCTGACCCTTCTCCTGAGCAGTCCTTAACTTATATAGCCCTTGTGACCTCACTATCTGGTCCAATGGAGACCAGCATCTGTTGGCTGCCAGCCAATCAATTTGAAATGCATCACTGGTTGCTGGGCAGACTGGCAGGGTTTCTAGCCCCCTCCCAGGCAGGTTGGCATTGCTTAGAACAATAGGGCATGTAAGCCCCTCACCCAGGTATGTGTTCCTCCCTCAGGAATGTATCCAACTCAGGTTACCTAAATAGATGGGACGTCTGCCCTCTGCCGGGCCCATGTTAACCAAATTGTCTCTCACCAAACTCTGCTGTGACAGAGATGGTATTCTGCCACAGTGTGCACAACTGAGCCAGCAGCAGAATGGAGGAGGTGAAGGCCAGAATATGCAAGACCTTCACTGAGTTTTTGGGTGCTTCAGTTTTTCATTATCTGTGCGGAGATGCCTGATGTGTCAGTCCACCTTCCCTGTCAGGATCAGTGAGCTGTCCACAGTTCCCTCAGTATCAGTGGAAGTGACATGTGTTCAGTGCTTCTGAAAATAAGGCTTGTGGTGGCTGAAGGGGCAAGAGGTGGGAGGGGGGGACACTGATCCTGTTGAAAATGCTGATGTTAGCATTGTAGGGATGCAGCTAGCCCTGCGTGTTTCTACACCCAAGTGCCACTCTGCCTTAGGAAAGACACAATGCATCCTACTACTGCTATGGGACTGCTGCAACTGTTCCCACTCATTTCATTTCTAAATCATAAGAGAAAGAAGTCTGCTCTAAACTTGTTTCAGCCTGTTTAACATTATACTTCTTCTGCAGCAAGAGTTATGTAAACATATTCAGGTACAAAGGATAACTCCACTTCTGTTAGTGATCACTGTCTTGATTGAACAGCTACTATGCAGCTTTTGGGCATAAAGTGCTTCTAGAAATCCAGATGCAGATGCTTTCTGTTGGTGGGGAACAGATCTACCAGACTAGGCATGCTGAGCAGTAACACATTTATCACTGGTGGCTGCAACGTAACAGAAACCTCAAAAAAGTCTGGTAACATACTGGAGTTATGCCTAACAATCCAGTGCAAGTGGACCATGGATTTTACTCAAGACAATATCCTTCTTGACATCTTCATTAAAGAAAGGTGTAGCTTGAGCTGAAAAGGTAGGTTAGTTCCTTGCACTAGTAATTTATCACCAAGAGTGACATTGTAAAAACAAGGATGCCAAATTCACCCTTGGTTCTAACTCAGCTGAACCTCCACCCATGTACCTGAAGACAGCAGCAGACCCAAGAGCTTTTCAGTCCATCACATCAGTATCTTTTGTTTGCAGATATAGCTTATAATTCTGTCCTAATGAGAGAGCTGGATACTGGTGGTGGCACAGTGGCACTTGGTATATTCATGGCAATTAATTTTTTCTGGAATCCAGAAACTGCCCTGTTTTTCGCTTAAGTCCAAAACACAACCCTGACAATTTTCTCATAATTAATGAATCTGAGGAGTACCTCTGCTAGGGAATCCCAGGTAAAGGAGTTTTGATATCTGACAATCTATGCAAAAACCATCATCTCTAAACTACTAAGATGTCAAATGGTCCATTTCATCTCCCTGTCCTAAGGAAACTGATTCTTTAATTGCATTGATTCTGTACTGTCCATTCTCAGTTCCTATAACAAATAGTGAAAAGATTTGTGTCCTCCAGAAAAAAACAAAAAATTAAAGGGGAAATAAATGAAGAGGAAGGATTTAATTTTATTTTTTATTATAAAAGTAAAATAAAAATAAGCATTTTAAAAAGCACAAATTTCTCCTTTAAAAAGGTATGAGTCTAAAAACAGTATTTACAGTAGGAAGCTGTCGTACTTGATAGGCACCAGAGTAAAGTTTAAATTACATTCACTGAAATATACATGATCCTTTTGTTGTCGTTTTTAAATCGCAACAATTTGTCATCAAGGGACATCTATTTAACAAATTTATGAGCTTCCTTTTCCATGCAACTATGCTATAAAGCTTTGAGAAGGATAGTCAGAGGTTTTGTCTTGCAATTGCTCTGGGTGTCCTACCTTTCCTATGAAAGTGAGCTGGTGATTCCAACTTGTAAGAAAGCAGTGACTTCCATCCATAAAGAAAATCTTGGACACCAGGAAAACTCAGTCAGTCCCATCCATCCAGCTCTATATTACATGTTATTGGCATTCTGGTTATGGTACATTGCTTGTAAATGAATGCAAGTAAACATACTTAAGAAACAAGGAAGGAAGTGATGTTTATGAGCCACTTCTTCAAATCTTTCAGTTCAGATGATTCTTTTCCAGTGCACTTTTGGCTGTAAGCTCATTTCCATCCCCCCAGAGAAATTCACACAGGCAGTTTTAAATGTCATTTTGCTTTCTATAATTGTATACTGCAAAGTGATTAGATTTTGCCTTGTATTGAGTGTTCTTGGCCGTAGCCCAAGGCCATTTTGCTAAGTGTTATTGAAGACTTGCTGTTCAGGGACTCGGAACAAGTAAAGCTAAGTTTGCGGAAGGAAGTCTCCACTCCACTATCACACATGCTTTCAGTGTCTTGGAATTTGATATCATAAAGTTCACCTGGGAGAAAAAGAGAAGAAAAGAGCACATCATTCTTCTTCATCCTGAATTAAAACCATAAGCCACTGTAATGTCCTAAAGAGACATGAAAAGCACTTGGCTAGACAAAAGCACTTTTAAAGAAAAATTAAAGTTGTGCAATTTTAGGGCACAGTGTTGCAACAGGAAAATGCTACGTGTTTTTGCTCAGAAGTGCCCAAAGTATCTGCAGTTTAATGCACTGTCATACTGACTGTGCTGCTTAAGACCAGAACTAGGCATTAGCAGTGGATACAGTCTGGGTGGGATTAAAAAGATGGTTACTGTACATTTGATTCTATGCATTTAAACTGGCAGCTACACTGCTCTCAAAGTTAATGCTAACATGCCCCTAGAGCAGTGCCTGTTAGCTCTCAGAGAGAATAAAGGCATTCTGGACCCAAGAGCCTTATTTCATGTTAGACTTAAGATGTGTTAACTGTACTTAAAACATGAGCATCTGTGCATTCAGGCAGGAAAATGTGCTATCATATGGTAGTAAAGTTAGCACTCTTCAGGCAAGGAATATCTCCAGATCATGTTAAGTAATATTGTGGAACTGCTCCATGGAGATAATACCAGCAATCTTCACCGGTTCTGATGTTTTGCTGGGGGTAGCACTAACAAATAGCAATGTCCCCCACCCCACCCCACCCCACCCCACCAGAGCTGGTTCAAAATCCTAGGACTGCACTGGAACCAGTTCAATACTCCAGTGCAGGAGGAGGGCTGGGACTGACCAACAGCTGTTTGTCAACCACGCAGCCAGGCTCCAGGCCTGCCCAGAGGGCTGAGATCATAGTAAGCATTACCATGCGACTGCTCAGAATCCTTTCCAACTCATACTAATGCTTATTATAATCTAAATAAAACATTTCCTAAGTGTAATGTGTAACACTTATATGTGTAAAGTGTTGTGAAGCTAGAGTCCAGGATGAGGCATTTTAACACCTTTTTTATATACAAATATTTCTTAAGTACTCTAAATAATTTGCATCTTGTTAATCTGAGTCTGAATTCAGAATAACCATCTGTGCCAGATCAAAGGAATAATTGGTGGTAAAGTTACATCCCCCAAGTTGAAGATTCTTCTGACAGAAATCGACCCGTCCTCATTGTGAAGCTGACAACACAGTGAGTTTAGCACAAATGCAACAAGCTGTTCAGAAGCTCATGGAATTTTGATTTTTTTAAACAGCTTGTTTTCAGATTGGACCTGGGATGTGGGCTGTTAAATGTTGCTAAGCAGCAAAAGCTCTTTTATTACCAGTGTTGCTAATTAGATTTGTTGCTTTGTTCAAGCACATGGAGAGAGGTGTGCAGTCTGATATGACCCAACAAGTAAAACTATAGCACTTAAACTAGAAAATGGTTGTAATATGGAAATGAAACTTGCCTATTCCATTTTCTGTCTCAGTGGGTGCATCTACATGAGACACTGACTATACAGTAGCTGAAAAATACTGTACAGTAGTGCATCACAGCACAGACAGTGCTAATGCACTACTGTGCAGTATTATTAAACGACTGAGCAGTAGCATTATCTAAAAGACGTTCAGCTAGTGCTACTGCATACTAATTCTGATTACGGTGCATTTATTTAGTACATGTATTAGCAAGTATTAAATAAATGCACAGTAACCGGAAGTGATGGAAGGAAGTAAAGTGAAGGAAGTGATGTTTATGCGAGTACTAAATAAATTGTAAACAACTTGTACTAGCAGTAACAACTGTGTAGTAGCATCTCGTGTAGACATGCCTAGTGGCCTCTATTACTTGGAGAGTGTCTGGGCTAAGGAGGCACTGCTGATCGATGGATAGGGCATCAGAAAACCTAGGTTTTATTGTCCTTTGCACAGCCACTGAGGTCACAAAACAAGCCAGACAATTCACTTTGTATCTCTGTGGCTCTCTTGTTAAAATGGGGTAATTAGCACTATCCACCTTCTCTACAGCACTTTGAGATGTGCAAGTGAGAAGTGCTGTGGCAATGGTGACTATTATTACTGTGTTAAAGCTGCATATCTTGATATCTTTAGTGAGCAGTTAATGAATGCAGACTGCTTAAATCCACTTCCAACCAGAAGGAGGAAAAAAAAACTAGTAAAAGAAAAATTTAGACACATTTTGTATAATCCCAGGGAAGTCTGGACAATGATGTGACAAAATTAATGTTGAACCTTAGGTAGACGAGACTCACTCATCTCTAACACTTTCCAACTTCTGGTAAGCATGAGTGACCATGATAGATATTGACAAGCATCTACATTTAGAGAAACAATAGTTGTGGTCATGATTCATTGTTATGTGCTATATTTCCATTCCTTCCCTACCCCATTAGGCCTGACCAGTCTAAAATGAGAAATTCCAGCATCTTCCCAGACAGGTGACTGGGGTTGTTCTGCACACCAACAATTTTTAAGCTGTACTGGCATCACAAGAAAAAAATACTTCAATACAATCTCAGAGGTGGTGCAAGCACCTACTCTGGATAGTTTCAAAAAACACTTGGATGCTTATCTTGCTGGGATCATTTGACCCCTTCTGACTTCCTGCCCCTTGGGCAGGAGGCTGGACCCAATGATCCCGCAAGGTCCCTTCCAACCCTAATGTCTATGAAATCTACCGCTATCTATTTTTACCTGTCTGTTGTTTAGTGGATGGAACAAAAGGTGATAGTGGTGGAGCCTTGGAGGTAAAATTCTCCTGGCTGCACTCAGTTAGTGGGACGGATCGTGCTTTCTGAATGATTTCAATTGCTTCTGTGTAACCCATTTGCTTCAAGGCATCGACTAACTCCTTTATTGTACCACCAGAAACCTAACATAAAACAAAGAGAGAAAATAAATAGCATGATGGAAGACTTGTTGCAAAACAGAGCCTTGGCCTCTGTGGAGGAGGAGAACATTCCCCCATAGAGCTCTGGGGATCACATGTACTCTTTAGGATATCCTTAAAACTGAATTACCTCATAGTTATCCAGCAGAGTTTTTGATGGTGTGGGACTCAATCTGAAAGCATTATTGAGTATTCCAAGGCCCAGCTTTTGTGCCAGGGCAGACCAGTTTTTGTTTGGATCAGGTACTTCTAATAACTTGTAGAGCTGCATCTTGGAGTCTTCATTCAGCTCTTTCATATCTCCTGGTAAAAGAGACTTAGAAACTAAGTGTATCACAACAAAAAGCTAATCTTTGGTTTACATAATCACAATCCTATTTGCAGCCCAAAGTGACAGTCAACTTTCTGAAAACCAATTAGTTTCTGAGGGCATTTTATACACATGCTCTAGAGTGGGAGAAGAGGGGGCAGGGCGCTTTAATTAGAAGAGCTGCTCTAATTAAAGTGCCTGGAGCATCTTGTGTATCAGTGTCCCATGCTGAAAAATGGAGGCGGGGGCACTTTAACTAAAGCTCATTCAATGAGCTTTAATTAAATTGCCCTTGCCGCCATTTTTTCAGTGCAGGATATGCTAATACATGTGATGCTGGAGTCTGCTGGGGTGTGGCAGTTGTCACACTCCAGCAGACTTGATCCATCAAGTCTGGCTTAAAAAGTGAGTAAATCCTTTGATGGGGAAATGTATTAAAGTATTGTGTACACTGCAGCAGAGCCATGAGCACACAGTACTATGTGGCTTCCTAACTCTAAAGTTAGAATCTTATGCGACTATATAAAGAATTGTTTGTTCTATCAGTGGCAGCACGTCTGTTACATTACAAACTAGAATGGGCAGTAACTGCCTCCCCTGCGTTTTATACAGTGCCCAGCACCCTGTCAGCACACAAATAATTAACAGATGAGCTTTTCCTTTTGTATATACTCAACCTGGTGCTAGTAGGTCATCAGAAGCCACCTTTGATTCATAGGGTTTGCCATTTAATATGTCATACACCTGTGAAATGGAAAGCAAGAAAATCAGTTTTGATATCTGGAAGAGACCTGTTATTTCTTCTACATCAAGTCTGAGTAGTAGTCTCCACTCTGTTTTTAATGATCAATCAGCTACCCAATCTTTTCGTCTTGTCACAGGCCTTGCAGGGCTAAAAGTGCTGCAGAAGGCTTGCTTGGCCCAAGCATGAAATGAAGAGAAACTGTCTTTGAGCATGGTCACATGGCAAGTGCCAGTGTGTTCTTAGGATACAGAGGGAAGCTTCTCAATTTGCTTGCTTAAAGTTAGGCCCCTAAATCCATACTTTGATTCTTAAACAAGGTAGCACAATTCCTAGCAGTGCTGAGCACTTGTGCTTCCTGGTGGACTGTCTCCACAAAACTAGCCCCTTCACTCAGTTGCAAAAACATGGATTAAGGAGCCTAACTTTATATAAGCCCATAGCCTCTGCCTTAAGTGGCCGTGTCTACATGAGAGCTCGTTACTAGTGCGCAGTAGCGTCACATGGCATGAAGCATGACACGATGCTACTGCACAGTAGTAGCAAGCTACTGCATAGTCAGTGTCATCAAAAAGCCATTCATGGACTCATGGACACAAGCATACGCAAATACTAAATGACTGCGTAGTAACAAGTGCGCAGTCAGCGTCTCATGTAGATGCAGCCAGTGTATGGGATATGACAATTCACTTTCACCATGCACTACAAAAGTCCCTGAACGTGAACCTGTGGTAAAAATCTCCACTGAGATGCCTCAGACAAAGTAGGGACAGATCCTCAGATTGATGTTCTGAAAAGGATCTGGAACGGTTTGGTATATGTGCAACCCACTAAAATCAACTCTTCTGGGTTTTCTTTTTGAATACTCCAGTGTGACCATTTTATGAATTTGTGAACCACCCATCTGTGAAGCCCACAATGACACCATGGTAGTCTGCCTCCTTTCAGCAGCTACTGGGAATCTAAGGTTCCGTGTGAGACAGTGCTCTTAAAAATAAATAAAATTGTAGTTTGTGGATCCCAGTTGCAAAAGGAGCTGCTGCAAGAACTAAGATATGTATTGAACACCAAACAAGCTAGGCACAGTACCTTGGATTTTCATAATGAACAAGTTTCAAGTTTTTCAATTAAAGTGACCACTGATGGTGAGTGGCACGTGTCTTATCACGTACTTTAGTCTTCACATTAAACTAAAAACAAGGAATCCCTGTATTTGTTCAAATAATTGACAAGTGGACCAGATCACTTGCCTCCCAGCTGGTGGCCATGTCCAAAGGTGTCGTTCCAGGTACAATTCCTTCATCTTCATCATCATTGCCTTTCACATCCTCTGGATCAAACAATGGCTCAAAGTTCTCAACATGAGGATCTGCACCTGGGAAGTCACAGAGCAGTTGTTAAAACTATCTTTTGAAAGATGGAATGATCCATCTGAATGGAAAATTGTCACCACAGGTCTGTGTGGCTTCAGTTGAAGACAAATTGTTTAGTTAAATTTTCAACATTTCTATACTGGTATATTAGTTGGGATCCTGCTGGGGATAAAGTTACAAGTTCAGGTAAATATCTAGAAGGGAAGATGCTTCTTCAAACCACCAGGTGGCTCAACTTTTATTTACTTTATGAAGAAAATGAATGAATTAGAAGGCTTAGAGCTTCAGTTTTTCAACAGAGCTTAAAATGCATCTTCTAAGATTTAGATAGCAAATGTACTATTTCTTACACTATTGACGAAAGGATATAAAACAAGCTAAATCATATACTCATCCCACATAGCAGCATTTTTCACCTTGTTAAGCAAATACCAACTAAAAAGGTGAGCCTTGCAAGAGCTCAGTAGAGGTGTGCAGCATTACACTGAAAGAAAATTAGCAGCAGAAAGGCAAAATATTTAACCTAAGACCCCAAAGGAAGTAAGTCACATGCATAAAAGAACTGACGTTTGGAAGCTCCTGGCATCTGATTCTGTGCTCAGATCACACAAAACGGGGGCTTCCCTGTTTTTAATCAGACAAAAAAAGAATAATGCTAGATAGTGAGTATTGTTAAAAGAACATGCACTGCAGAGGGAGGTCTGAGTTTTTATTCATTGTAACACTAGCCTAAATAGAGAACTGAGGCATGGCACAGAGAAAGGGATGACCCTGGTAAGCTGATACTTTATCCTGACAGCTGTGAAAATTAAATCAATTAATCTCCACCAGTATTTCCCCAGAGCATGGAGAGAGGTATAGGGGATAAAAGAAGGTATGAGCTTGGAGTGATTTCCCTTTATGGTTTTAAAACATTTCAAAAACAAAGCAATGCAACATTAAGTAATTTTGGGAGAAACTTCTTTAGATACAAGAACCAATAAAGATAAGAGCTCAGAAGTTCACAAAAGATTAATTGCTTGCAAGATTATAAACACATTTCCTGTTGTAAATGCCAGTACGACCATTATGTATCCAGCAGGTGGAGCTAAGGAGCCTTTGGTCAACAGTAATTCCTCCTTCCTAAGAACAATTTGTAATACCCGTGACATCTCAGATGTCTACTGCCTGAAAGGTCAGGAGAGCTGCTCGTTAATTTAATCTATCACACATATCAGAGAATGCCCCAAACTTCAGATTGAAATTCACAGTTAATAGTAAGTGATGTTCACTGAAAACTGCCCTCTTAAAAAAGATATACATCATACCTGCTGCTTTGAGAAGAGCGGTCAGTTTTGTGGAGCCCCTTCCAGCTGCTATATGGAGTGGAGTGGTTCCATCATATGTAGTGCTGTCAACATATGCGTCACCCTGAAATTTAATGACGCACAAAAAATGAGAAAAATAATATGCATATCTATTTATAAGAGTTTGCCCCTCATGTCTACATAAATGCTGTAATAATTCAAATGAAGCCCAGTCTGTCCTCTGCACAGAGCACCTAAACCCAGGACAAAAGGAACTGGAAACATCTTTGTTAGCTTTGTACATATTAAATCATGTTTGTATGTTCCTACATTAACGAGATGCCCAGTATAAAAACATAGATAGGTTAGATGAGTAGTATGAGAGCCTATGCTTTGAATCCAATGTTCTACAACCATCTGCTTATCCTGAGGTCCAAACCACTATCCAGTTAGAGTTCTACTTTTGCTTTCAATGGAAGCATGAGAGTACATTAGTGTATATGGAGTACAATAATGTATATGTACATACACATTATATATATCCAAATATACCCCGAAGCCACATGTATAATCATGTGTAAAGCCAAAACATCTTGTTTCTACAATGAAGTATAAGCGCGCACACACGCATATTATGTGCATGTGTGTATAACTTGTCTACATATGCCCTGATTCTGCAAAACTGATTTTCTTAACTTTGCACATAAACAGTCACATTAAAAGTTAAGCATATGCCTGCAGTTTCAAGGCCATAGGCTATAAAAAAGGACTGCACAGAGCATACGGTATTAATATTATTTGCTCAGCATTGATAACGTGTGTGCTGGCTCTTACACAAGCAATCAGAGCAACTACACAAATAGTCAATAACCTTCTAATTTTGCTCTATTTAAGCACTTACAAATTTCAAAGCCTTTTTAAATTGGAAAAAGAAATGAACCCGGGAGAAAAAAAGCCCACACCCCAAAGCTATCTTCATAGCCCTTACCTCAAGCAGAAGGCAGCCTGCCAAAGAGATGTTCTCTTGTTCAACAGCCAGATGCAATGCAGTTCGTCCAGATTTTTGTTCCTGAGCATTGATGTCAGCTCCAGCAGCAATCAGCAGCCTGAGGCAAGACATGCTATTTGCTAGCACTGCCATGTGAATTGCATTGAGACCTACAGCACAAGACATGAAAACTGACAAATGTGGAAATGATGTGGTAAAAAGTTTATAAAAGCTGTATTTGCAGAACTGCAGAAAATTACTGAATTTACTGTAGCTATCTGATGAGGTATTTTTGTGTTTTTCTGTACAGTTGTCTGAGTAAACTCCAGTCCAAAAGTTCATAAATTTGAAACAGGTGCATTAAGGGTGAGATTTCAAAGCCATGAATGGCCTATATAGGTCATCCTAACAAATGATAACCAGATTATGGTACCACACTATATTAATATACAGGCCAAGTGCTGTATTCTTCCAGATTAGTTGGTACACTTCCATATCTTTTCCCCTATAAAGTCATGCTGCCTTATTTGAGACAGGTGCAGCTGAACTCATGGTGATAAGAAAAAAAATGCTTTTATATTTTAGATGCCTCTAAAACTGACCTAAAATAGCAGTTTTAATTCACAGCATTTTTAGCTTTGATACTTCACCTCTTCCAAGAGAGAAATGTTAGATACAAATAAATTACAACATTGAAGAATTGAGGAATCTTGGCTTTCCGGGCATTCAAAGGCTCAAGTTTCTAGTTCCGTTTGGTCACAACATAACAAATATTAAATTGGTCTCTGGTACAGGAATGATGATTGGCCATCTGTTCCTCAAGCCACTGTAACTGCTTGGGGAGCAGAGGGAATTTCCTTCAAGGGAAAAAAAAGTAACATATCCTTAATGGGATTTTTTGCAATAATGGCTAACAGTACACAGAAGAAGTAGTAGTAGTAGTGAAATGGCCAAATTAAATTAAGAACTACAAGTTAAATGCAATTAAAATTGAACTCCAATTTATCATGCAGACATCACCATTATACAAGTGGCATACAAATTATGAATCTAGATATTTATTATTTTCCCTCTTGTGCATGTATGTGAAAGCAAGATGGGACAGACTGTGAATACTGGAGATCACTATAAAAGGCAGAAGTACAAATTTTGTATTAATCTTTTTAACATATATTGTAAATGACCAATATGTTCATCCAATGGATAATACGGAAAGTGACCCTGGTCTTTCTGTACCTTCCCCCTCTGAAAGGTTGATCATCAGAGAGGTTTTCTTGTGCTTAAGGAGTATGTCCAAAATTTTGTCATCTCCCTCCTGGGCCGCTAAATGCAAGACAGAGTTCCCATGTCGATCCAGAGAACTGACATCAGCCCCAGCCTTCAGCAGATCTTCCACCACATCCGCCTGCTTTGTGATAACTGCCAAGTGCAAGGGGGTCTGGAAGAGGCAAAAGGAAATGACCACAGGAAGGTGAGCAACAGACATGTTTCAACAGAAGTCTCTTAATAAGATTACTTCCCGAGTTTCAAATGTTTTTTTTCTTTTCCCAGAAAAAGGTTCTATGCTACTGAAGTGTTAGATGCACACTAGTATGCCTTTTTCTTCTATTGAATTGTTAAGACTACTTATAGAGGAAATAAAAGTTTTGCAGCCTAATGTCAGCATGTAGAGTAAGGGCCTGATCCTGCTTTCCCCGTGTTCCTACTGAGGTGCACTCCAGTTCCTCCCCAAGAATCCTCCACAGCCCTGAGTTTAAGAGCCAACATTGACCACAGTCCTTAAAATATGAGGCTACAGTAAATACAACTTTGTGTTCTCAAAACTGAGGAAGTGCAGAAGAACGGTGCCTTTATACATGTCTTGTCTACCCAACTGACATAAACTGCGTTTTTTCATTTCAGTGATAAGGGTGTCAGCTACCACAGAGTGTGGTTTTAGTGGTGTCTAAAGAAAGACTGTATGCTGCAATCTATCTTCCAGTGGGTAAGCAAATATTATTCTGATGGACATTTTTCACAAAATATATTAGATTTCTTCTGTAAGCCTTCATAGTGTGAGGAAAATCAGATCCCCAAGAACCAAAATCACCTAAAAATATACAGTTCATGCCACAACATTACACTTACCAGCTAAATCATCAACATCAACCAGACTAGCATAACAGCATACCTGATAAAGATCATTTCTCATATTGATGATGTCATCAGAATTCAAATCCTGCATCACTTCTAAGAGGTTTTGCACCAGCTCAGCATGAAGGTGGATAATTGCTAAATGAAGTACACTGAAAAAGATAAATCACTTACAACATTTGGGAAGGGATTTATTCAGTGCATGCTGACACTTGAGAGGTGTTTTCCCTCCAAATTGTCATGACGGCTGGGCTCCAAATGCACAACATGGAACAGCAATAAAGAGAAAAATGTTGTACAGTAAAGGTCATCTTCCCAGCCCTCTCTGAACTTTTCAGTAAAATTCAGTCCATTTTCATTTAAAATTAGTAGAGAACCAATAGGAGGGGAATAGGCTGGCATGAGAGTAGCTCCTACTCTAAATCTAACTCCAAGCTTTGGATAAGAGGAACCTATCTGCAAATGTTAAAATGCCTGGAATTTTTTAGACGCATGAGGAACATGAAAATGTTCATACTTTCAGAACCTGTATTCAAAATTTCCACAAGACTGTAATTAATGCAGAGTTTCCCTTGGGGATTTCCCCAACTTTGTGGGGGTTTTTCTTTACTTCCTTTTCATAAAGGTGACTAAGGAGCAGAGGATTCAGAGAGTTAGATAGAGATGCCAAAGGGAAAAACCTGCTTCAGCTGTGTAAGCAACCACATGTGACAAGACCATATCTTTTTCTCAGACTAAAGAAACTAGATTTGTTATGTTCTCCCTCAGCCTTGGAGCCTTCAGCACCAGCATGCACAGATTATAACTGAAAAGACAGACAGCAAAGAAGGGATAGCTTACTGCCCCCATGCTAAGATACTTCTCTGGGTTACCCATACATTTCAGTATTCAGTTAAAAAAGTGTTACATAAAGCCCCAGCTCCTGGAGCCATGTGAATATATGTCAAAATCTCAACTTTCATTTTAAAAAGTCTCAGCTTCATGGTTCATAGGAAAGTAGAGCTGGAAGGAACTTCACAAGATCATCTGTTCCAACCCCCTGCTGAAGTCAGAAGTATCCCTGACTAAGCCATCCTAGCCAAGTGTCTAACCTGCTCTTGACAACTTCCAAGGATGGAGATTTCACATGTTCTCTGAGTAGCCTGTATCAACGCTACAGGTAACAGACCTGACCTTCATAGTCAAAAGGTTCCTCCTAAACTCCAGTCTGAATTTCCTCTGCTGAAGTTTGAAGCCACTGCTCCTAGTCCTGTCCCCTATGGCCACAGAGGAAAGCCTCTTTCTGTCCTCTCTGTAATCACCCTTCAGGTATCCGACCATTGTTATCGACCTGCCTCCAAGCCCCTCAGGCTCCTCTGTTCCAGACTCAATAACCCTAATTCTTCTAGCTTTTCTTTGTTCTTAATTTATACTTTGAAGGCCCATAATAATTTCTTGTTGCTCTGTGCTGGATGCTTTCCAAACCATCCACATCCTTGAAACATGGGGCTCCAGACTTGACACAGTACCCCAGGTGAGGCCTCACCACTGCTGAAGAATCACTTCCCTTGTTTTACAAGTGACACTCCTGTTAATACAACCCAGAATGCTATTGGCATTTTTTTTGCAGTAAGAGTACATTGTTGGCTTATATTTAGCTTATAGCCCACTAGAACCCAGAAGTCCTTCTCTACAGTAATGCAGCCTAGCCAATCATTCCCTAGCCTGTATTTGTGCATGCCATTATTCCATCCCAAGTGCAGGACTTTGCACTCATCCTTGCTGAATCTCTTTTGATTGACTGTGGACTACTCCAGTCTCTTCAGGTTATTTTGGATCCTAGCCCTACCCTCCAGAGTGTGCACAACTCCACCTAACCCAGCATCATCCACAAATTTGCCAAGCGTGCACTCAATACCATCATCCATATCCACCTTACAGTACTTGTATCTAGTCTGTACTTCCTCAGCTTGTTAATGAGTGTCACAAAAAACACTGTCAAAAGCCTTGCTAAAGCAGAAGAATCTGCTCTCCCCCTATTCATAGAGTCTGTCATCTTATCCTAGAAGGAAATCAGGTTGGTCAGCAGAAGGTGCTCTTCGTCAATCCTTGCTTGTTATTCCTGATTACCATGGTCTCCTCTAGATGCTTCACAATAGTTTCCTTGAAGACCTGCTCCATGTTCTTCCCAGGTATCAAGGTCAGGTTCGACTGGTCTGTAATTCCCCAAATCTTCCTCCTTCCTTTTCTTAAAGATGGGCAATTACATTTTGCTTTTTTCCAATCATCCAGGACCTCACTTAATGTCCAAAAAGTATCAGTGGCTTCAGAGTATAACCATAAATTATAATCTCTCGCCATCTTTCAAAAACACCTCACAGAAAATATACTATTCCCTTATGTCTAGAACTGCTAAATTACAGTAGCCACACAATGGATGCGCTTCATGGACTCAGTTCTGCCTGTATTCTATCCAAACTTGAACTAATCAAGGCATTAACCACTCAGAACTAGCAAGCCACAAAATAACCTCATTTAAGTCTTTTAGTACCATAGGGAGCATCACATCTAGCCCTGCCTGCTTGAAAGCATTTAGCTTCTAAGTAATCCTTACCCCATTCTTCTATTTCTCTAGGCTGTTTGTGTCCTTCACTACCTTTGCTACCAACAGTACTCACCCTCTAGTTGCTGCCCCTATTTGTGAATGAAGTTAAAAAGAGGCATTAAATACTTCAGTCTTCCCTGCATCATCTATAACTAGACTGCCTACCACATTCCATAAGGGTTTCTCTTGTCTCCCTCTTACTAGTTCAATCTTAGGATTTCAGGGGGTCTGACACTACATTTGAATGCTGGGAGTCAGCAATTCTAGGCTGCTTCCTCCATTTTTCTAGCACTGGCCACCTCGGTCCCTTCTCTTAGTCTCACCGTTGTTACATAAGCACTTGCCTTGTTTGTAGTTCTTGCCATCTGGAACTACTATCTTGTACCATTCTACCACATTGACTATTTTCAAAAGTCAGCTTAAAGCATGCTGTTTCTCATTTGCCTTTTATTCTCTATTTGTCTTTCCAGTTGCTAAAATTTTACATTACATCTGTACTTAACTTAGTCAAGATTTATCACGTGCATTTCATGAAAGATCCAACAATTCACTATTTCCTTAAACAAGCTGATAAAGCTAGTAGTTGTTACAGTAAATCTAAGAATCACAGTGCGAGATGGAAGGACACAAAGGCTTTTATAGTCTCGAGAGAACTATACTTATCCAGTATAATGGCCCTTCTTGAAGACCAATAATGCATTTGCGACAGACTCTTACTTTTTATCTCAAAGCCAAAATACATTAATACATTTACCACACCTGAACAAAACTGTTATGATACTTCTCCTAGACTGTGAGTTCTGCTTTGTACAACAGCTTTTTCAAGAGAATGGGGAACCACTGCCCCCAAGAGCAAAGTAATTTGAAACATGTACATCAACTAAAGGCTCAAAAAGGCACTGGGCTGAAAGCTTGTACAGTTATGATCCCTGACTGACCCCATAAGCTGATATGTAGATTGAGCTGACAGTGCTCTTGGGCCTTCAGGGACAAAATAAATTTAAGCCTCAGGCAGTAGCTACTTACTTGTCACCATTATCATCTTGGACAGCAGTGAGATGACGTTGAACAGCTAATAACATCTTCACATCTCCAGTTATGGCATAGTCAAAAAGAGCATTGGCATGACGTTTAGCGAGTTGCATGGCCTTCTCCAGGAACAGTCCATCTGCAACACAAATGATCATGTTCATTATATAACTACAAATTATCTCTGTGCAGTGAGCAGAAACATCACAAGAAGTATGGTGGCTAACAGGCTGGCACCAAAAACATCTCCTGTTGGCAGATGTTAGTCTTGCCAGGTGAATATTAATTAATACACTATTCAGCACCTTTTACAGACTCACTGAGGCTCATAGCTAATTCACTGGTTTGTCCAGATAGAAAGAATGGTTTTTAGAAAAAGAAAGTGGAGTGTCAGCTGAGTACTCAGTGGGTGCATCTACATGAGATGCCATAGTGCAGTAGCAATGACATATTGTGCCGTAACTTGTTGCTATAGTGATGTAGTGTCTCTGAGCATAAACCATGATGGTCATGCTATTTCATAGTAGTAACAAACTAGTGTGCAGTAGCTCATTGCTAGTGCATAGTAGCATCTAAAAATAACCATGCAGGGATGGTACTGCACAGTAATGGTGGTTACGGCGCAGTCATTTAGTACTTGGTTAAGCAAGTACTAAATGACTGTGCAGTAACAGTAGTGCAGTCCACCACCAGTAGGGAGGAAACCTAGGAGCAACCCAAGTTAGATCCATAGATGCTTGGGTCAGAAGGGACCCTCAACAGATCATCGAATCCGACCCCCTGCCTGGGCAGGAAAGGATGACCCCAGCCAGATGCCTATCCAGCCTTCTCTTAAAGACCCCCAAGGTAGAGGAGAGTATCACCTCCCTTGGAAGCCCGTTCCAAATTTTGGCCACCCTTACCATGAAAAAGTTCTTCCTAATGTGTCGCTTAAATCTGCTCTCTGTCAGTTTGTGACCATTGTTCCTTGTTACCCAAAGAGGTGCCCTGGCAAACAGAGCATCTCCAATACCTTGTTGGGGAGAGGTTTTGAGCTGCAGTCTGATAATGAAGCAAAATCCCAGGAAAAGCATAAATCTGGATTATGTATAGTACCAGACCATGTTTGAGAACAGCTGGGTAGGGAGCCCACTTCCAGAACTTTCACAATAATGCTTTAAGTTTCTAGTTCCTTTATTCACAAGCTAAGCAACCTATAAACGCATCAGCAAACTCATCCTAAATCAGGGGTGTTAAACTCATCTGGTTCTGTGGGTCAGATGAGTAGTATGGGATTGTTCTATGGGCCAGATGAATGGTGCAGAGCTGGCCTCGTGGGTTGGATTTGGCCCATGAAACCTCCCCTACCCCCTGGCCCTTCTAGTCTGAGACCTGCCAGAAAAAGGTCTGGTATCTTGGCTGCTTGGCTATGGCCATGGGAACACACCATGGCATGGGGCTCCTTCCCAAGGTGTTGCTGGTGCTCCATCACCAGTTCTTGACAGGATGCTTGGCTCCAGCCACAGAAGGTCCTGCTCCTCACCCCTCCCAAAGCTGCATGTTTGACACCCCTGCTGTAAGTATCTTACAAATAAGGAAACTAAGTACAGGGGGCTTAAGTGACTTGGAAGTCGGATACAGTCTGTGCCAGAGCTATGGAATACAGCCTGGGTCTTAAATTTCTCATCTTTGACCTGAACCATAAGTTATAATCTCTCCCCATCCTTCACAAACAACTCACAGAAAATATATTATTCCCTTATGTCTAGAACTGCTAAATTACAGTAGCCATGCAATGGATGCGCTTTGTGGACTCAGTTCTGCCTGTATTCTTTCCAAACCTCAACTAATCAAGGCATTAAACACTCAGAACTAGCAAACCACAATTTCTTCCCTTGCCCTCTGGGTACCACAGGCTCTCTCAAAACCAAGCAATTATCCATTGTAGGCTTCAACAGTGTAATCCTGTTATTGTCTGGCCTTGATTTTACAAACTGTTCTTTGTCGCATTGTTCAAGGAAACCATAACATAGCACATGACATAACATGTCCTCCTCTATCCCAAACCAAAAAGCAAACATTCCTCATGAAAGAGATGCATATGTTACATGTGGTCAGAGAAGCATATTCCTTATCAGAGGGGTGGCAATGCACAGATGCACCCCCACTTTGACTCCTGAGAACCACTCAGCAGTTATGCCAAGGGAGCCTGATGTGCCCTGGACAATGGACTGGGCTGGTAAAAGGGAAGTCAGGAAGGCAGCTGCAGAGATTTAAAGGGGAAAGGGTAAGCTTCGGGAACCCCAGCAAGGCTCCTAGCATTCAGGGTACATGCTGCTCCTGGAAAAAGTCCCACCCTCTCTTCCCTGCTCCCTTGCAGGTGGCCAGTACTGCTGCTGCAATGAGGGAGCAAACTACCCACTCTGAAGCCAAGAGGGAATGGGTGAAGCAGCACGGAGTCCTGAGACTGCTCTTCCACATGCATGGCCAGCTGGGATCCACCCTGCATCTGTGCACAGGACAGCAGCAGTGCAAGTACTGTCTTGCCTTTAAAGGCAGTACTTTAAGTTGTCCCAGGACCTTGCATCTCTTCAGCTTTCTTCACTATATTCCTGCAATACTTGTTGCAGTCCCACACCTTATAGATCGTAGCCATGTTGTTAGTTACTGTTCTTCAGGCAAGGATTTTTTTATGGTACCTTTTTTTTGGACCAGCTGCATAGTTGGTAGGGCTGTGCAAAGCTTCGGTCCCTGATTCGATTTGGTGGGGATTTGGCCTGATTCAGTGGCCAAATCTCCAAATCTGAATTGAATCAGAAGACCCTTTAATCTCTTCTAGTCAAATTGGATCAGAACCCTCTGAATCGATTCAGAGAGATTTGGAAAGATTCCACGGTTTGGACATAGACACAGCTTTAAATGTTTTTTCTACATACCTCAAGATACCAGGTGGCTCGTGAATGCTGAGATAGTGGGACGAATAGAGCGTGCTCAACAGCAGACCTGGAAGTGGACCAGAAGCATGTCTGGTCCACTTTCAGGTCTGCTGGGCCCCCCTGCGTCCCTCCGGCTTGGTGATTGGTGCCTCCTGGGTCTGGGGGGCCACCCAGGGTCCCTCCACGGCTGATTGCCGAGCCGGGAGGATGCACGGGGCTCCCCCTGCATGCTCCCCAGCAGACCCAGAAGTGGATGGGATGTACTTTCCACTTCTGGGCTTGCTGGCAAGCATGCAGGGCCCCCCCCGCTGCGCTCCTGTGGGATGCTCCATCTGCCCCAGCATTGCAGGCATGCCTGGTACTTCAAGGTATGTAGAAAAAACATTTAAAGCTGTGTCTATAGCCGAATCACTGATTCTCCAAATCAGCATCGAATCTTCAGATTTGGATTTGGCCGGATCAAACTGGGGACAGTGATCTGAATCAACAAATCGAATCACTGTCCTCAATTCAGGCTGAATCCAAATCGAATACATGCTCTTGTCCAACAGCTCTCCCAACTTTACAGCTGGCCCAATCAATGAGATCACAAAAAATTCCTTGCCAGATCCCTAAACCTTGGTTTGGTTTAACAATGGGTGAAAGGTATCTTAATGGACTGGCTGTGTTGTGGAAATAACTTAAGTGAAACATTGGATGCACTGTCAAGATGCTCAAGGTGGCTAGATTTTATTTTATGAATCTGAATATAATGTATACATTTAATTTTTATGACTTGATTATTATTTGCCTAGTTTGTTGTGTTTTTATACTTATAGTATAGCAAACCAATGCATATTCCAATAAAGTTATATTTGTTTTTGCTTCAATTTTAAACTGAATAATATAACCGTGGGCCCCTAGAATATTACTAAATCTTCTAGTTTCTTTTTACCAGGAGGAAAGTGTATTATTGTCAGGAACCCTGTTATATTTCGGGGTTCACAGCACATCATTGTTTTCTAGCATTACTGTACTGATATGGCATGTGTGGTCTTATTGGAAATCCTGTGTTATGCTGTACCAGTGCCATTGTATGGATTATATTATGCTGGCTATGTATATTTTTATGGTTTGGGATATGGTTTAGCCAGGGAACTTAGGAAGTGGGCAAGCAGAACTGACAATTATTTCTTGCCCTTGTGTTCTAGGGCCAGGCCAGTTGCCACTAACAACAGCAGACAGAAGGGACCACTGGTAGGATTGGCACCTCTGCACATTGTCTCCCTATGATGGAGGCAGACTCTACAATAGAAAAGGCATCTGGGAGTAATGGCCCTTGAGCTGAAAGAGCTACAGATGTCTTAGGGTGCCTAGGAACTTTGAGATGGTTCTGGTGACTCATGGGTGATCAAAAATAATGCTAATTAAGGGGCTAGCCTGGGACATATTTTAGGGTGCAGACATGTTAGAATATTTATTTCTGAATCTCAAGTTTTTGCAGGGAGACCCCAGTTACCAAGACTGGTAGAATCAGTAGGAAGACTTATTTCTAAAAACTCTGGCAAGGACTCTCCTGAAAGGCTAGGAGTAGCCAGATAAGAGGGTAGGAATCTGTACTTATTTTACTTTTCTGTCTCCAAACCAATGGTCTGTTTTGGGTACATACTTTTTTTATCCCATGTAATATATATTTTGCTGTTTGTCTCCTTACTGATTGCTGGTGGAAAGAGTGATTTCTGGGTCAGCAATACTCCAGGCTGACTCTACGGAAAGCGGAATATACAATTTCTTCCATAACCCAAAAGTAGAGGTGACTTGGGGCTAAGAGAGATCACTGCAACTGCAGAGTTCACTGTAAGGGCAGAAGAACTGAGGTGCTGTGATAGGAAACTCTTAGAGCAACCTGAGTCTGTTCTCTGGCATGAGTGGCAGCACTATGGGGAGAAACCGGGACTCCAGGGGTCCCCCATAGATGGAGGTGTGACTGTTATAGTGTATGTAGCGATGAATCATACCATCTTCACCCCCACTTTCAAAACCCTAGCTCTGCCCATGCTTATCATTTATTTCTGTTCTGACCGTTAACCAGCAGCACATTTCCAGTAAACAATCCAAGACATCTATGTCCAAATTTTTTGGAGTTTTGACCTTGACAGGAGTTATGGGTGCTCTAGACCTTGAAAAAAAATCAGGTCATCTAACTCTTAACAAAACCTACTCTTTCCAAAGAATTAGCTAGAGAAAATCTTACCAAAGCAGACGTGTAAACTTATACTTGCCAAAGGATTCATAACCTTGTACAATAGCACTTCTGTCAACCACTCCCTCTTCCTTTTCCTTTCTCCCTCTTTTCTGATTTGTTGTGTGAAGTATTTTGCAATGAAGCAGTGCTGATATGATTGTTTACTTTATTCACTGCACAGCAATGCATCTAGTGTATAAACAACATTTTCTTTGCAGATAGTTACACCAGCTAAATATCAAGAGACAATTTCAAGAGATAAATTCACAATTTATATGTTTGTAGGGACCTACCAAATTCACAGCAGAAGTGGGCCGCATGGCAGCTCCTTTAATTTTGCAGGTTCCCCTGCATGCTCCCCTCTCCCCCTCCCCCTCGTTCCTGATTGACAGGGAGGCAAAAACCATGATTTTAAATACAACACTGTTTTTCCCTCCTGGCCAGTCAAGCAGCAAGCAGTGGGGTCACCAGGGCCACAAAACCAATCAGTAACTGGGAGGAGGGTGCATGGGAGAACCTGCAAGATTAAAAGAGCTGTCGTGCAGCCTACTTCCTCCATGAATTCAGTAGGTCCCTATACATTTGTAACTGCTGACTGCAATAGGATCTCACAGTGTGTAAAATCAATGCCAAAGCTGGCCAAGAAGGTCATCTCACCTGCCTCTGTGACCTGAAGAGGCAATATTACCCCAGAGGCTGATGTAGAACAGAGGCATCTATAAACTATCACTAGAACTGGTAGCCCACTGGAATGACAGGGAGTGAACCCATGCCATTGCCAATTCAGAACAAAATTCTATCCTACATGCATAGGAAAAAAAACTGGCAAAAGTGGACCCTGAGCCAGAACTTGTGGAGCTTCCAAACCTTTAACTGTTCTACCCTATAGAGGGTATTAATAGGGTCCAAAGTAAACTAGTTTATTCTCTTACCTTGTAACCTAGAGTTGGCTTCATCTATTTGGGCTGTATGTGACAAAGTAGCATCCTCCTCCTCTTTATTACCGCAGAGTCGGGAGTCATCCCTGCCTGAGATCTCCTTTTTCGCACCATGCTTCACATTCTGCTTGTCATTGTGCTTATTGCAGCTTTCCCTGTGTTGTTCATGTTCATCACTTGAAAGCCCTGAAAATAGATATGAACAGCATTAGCCCTTTTGTGCAAAGGACAATCAATGCTCTGCTGGCAAGATACAGAACTCAAAGAACTCACTAGATAGTCATCTGCTGACTTCATTAGATCAGGCCCTTTAACGTTAAATGCTAGCAAGACAAAATCTGGAGCTCACTGTACAAGAAGAAAAGTACAGAAATGTAACTATTACTAAAGTGTTTAGGATGTTCTCTTTACCAGCTTCTCAACTGAAGGATCAAGTTAAAAATATCAGCAGAGAACAGCAACTGTAGGCATGAACTTTGATTTCACATACAGTGATATAAAGGCTGGAGTGATAGGGAGCCAATGGAGTTATTTCAGATTGACTTGGGTGCATCTGACAGCCTGTCCTGTACACTGTTTTCTCAGTGCCTTGGATTTGAAGTGATTCCTCTTTGTTTAGAGTATAAGTATTAAACACACCCATTCTGTTAATTTTTCAAGTGGTCACAGGTTTCCTCTTCCCCCACTTGGACCAGAGAATGTGCCTCCCTCCTACCCAGCTTCAAAAAGTTGTGCGCTCCATGGAAGGATTTGCCAGGTCAGGGCATTCCAAGGGACAAAAGGGCTGCTCTCAGGTTGCTTTCCCTTGAGAGCAGCTTACAGCAAACAGGAGGGCAAGGGCAGTGAGCCTCCTGTATTCTTTAAAGGAGTGTGGGAGGGGAAAATGCTTCTATAGTTGAAAACCTGGCCTCCAGTGGGCAATAATGCCAACACAGTCACAGTCCACCAGTCAATTTTTAATCCCTGGGAAGACAGTTTTCCCATCTTAATAACCTTATCCAGTCACTAACACATACAGTTCCCTATTCAAAGGTCAGCATTTGCCATCCAATTACTCCTACTCTAAGGACAAAGGAAACTGCAATATCTAAGAAAGTACTGAGGGATATTGTTGGCTAATACTGAGCTTTTAATGGTTAAATGCTGAGATGTATGGGCATACATACACACACAGCATTTGGTACTATTTGAGCCCAGCTTAGAAAGAAGCAGAGTAAATTTAATCCGTCTGGAAGTCTGTTGCTAGGACTTCATAGCTTTTGGTACCTAAACTGCCCCATTTAGAGTTAGTGTGGGTATCTCTATACTATACTGCACACTGCAGTGTAGACCCCCCACGCCAGCCTCATCTAACTTCAACAGCCACTAACAGCAATCACTCCCTGGAATACAGATGGTTAACTCAAGAGAACTAATGCAACAATGCTATTTTTTTTATTGTTACCGTGTTTCATTCCAGTATTCGATTTTGTTGTACCAGGGTGGAAATGCATTCCTCCGAAAGCAGTATACCCATATGAAGGGTAACCAAACCCTAAAAACAACATAAAAGGGGAAAAAAATCACTAAAATTATCCTCCAAAGCAAAACAGACACTATATGGGAATCATGTACTCAACCTGCAAAGTACCATTTGAGGTACAGTTCTTGCTATTTTCTTCTTTGGCTTTTCCATCCTACAAAAACCAAGATACTCTTGAATAGATGCAAGTTCTCCATCCCTCCACCCTGGCAATTGGAGGAGATTCTACATGCCTGACTAGTGACATCCTCTACTGCAGCATTTTCCAGGACCTTTAAAGCTAGTTTGTCACATCTAAACCTCATAAACCAGGTTTGGTGTGCAACTACTATATTTTTAATCAGTGGAATTACAATGGATTCGTATTCAAATACCATGTGGTAAACTGACCTAGGAACCAGTGTTTGACAACTGCTGCTCTGCACCTTCTGTAGTAGGGACATTATAGTGACATTATTCTAATTGTGCTTGCTCTTATAGCTGGGTCTTAAAAAGCTCCAAGGATGGAGATTCCACAACCTCTCTGGGTAGCTTGTTCCAGTGTTTTACTACCCTTATAGTGAGAAAGTTTTTCCTAATATCTAACTTAAACTTTCCTTGCTCAACTTGAGGACATTTCTCCTTGTTTTGTAATCTGCCACCACTGAGAACAGTCCAGCTCCATCCACTTTGGAACCACCCTTCTGGTAGTTGATGGCTGCTATTAAATCCCCCTTCAGTCTTCTCTTTTCCAGATTTAATAAGCCCAGGTCCCTCAGCCTTTCCTCAGAAGTCATGTACCCCAGCCCCCTAACCATTTGCATTGCCTTCACTGGACTCTTTCCAATTTGTCTACATCCTTTCTATAGTAAGGAGCCCAAAACTGGACACAGTACTCCAGATGTGCCTCACCAATGCCACATAGAGGGGAATAATCACTTCCCTTGATTTGATGGCAACACTCCTACCAATGCAGCCCAGACTGCCATTAGCCTTCTTTGCAACAAGGGCACACTGTTGGGTCATTCATCTTATTGTCCACTGTAACCCCCAGGTCATTTTCTGCAGAGCTGCTGCTTAGCCAGTTGGTCCCCAGCTTGTACCGGTACATGGGACTGTTCTATCCTCGATGCAGGACTTTGCACTTATCCTAATTGAAATTTATGAGATTTCTTTTGGTCCAATCCTCCAATTTATCAAGGTCTCTCTGAATCCTAGCTCTATGCTGTAGCCTATCTACTACTCCTCCCAGCTTGGTGTCATCGGCAAACTTGCTGAAGGTGCACTCCATCCCATCTTCCAGGTCACTGATGAAAATATTTAACAAAACTGGCCCCAGGAACATCCCCTGGAACACCCCACTTGATACTGGCTGCCAGCTAGACATTGAGCCATTGACTATTACCCTCTGAGCCTGATGATCCTGCCAGTTTATCACATCCACTGCACTTCCCTCATCTACAGAGCTAGTCATCTCATCACAGAAGGCAATCAGGTTGGTCAGGCATGATAGATGAGAAATCAATTAATTTTAGTCTCTTGCTATTCAGGCCAGCAGGAACAATAGCACTGGAGAGACTAATTCAAGCCCACTCCTGAAAAAAATATCTGCCCGTACTTTATTTCTCAGCGTGACACTGATAGCTATGAAGGACTTTTATCTAGTCCTTCTCAGCCAGAAGAATAACATCTGTGACATACAGCCACAAGGAAAGAATAATGAAGGGATTATTTGGCTGCCAATATGAAAACAGGAATTATAGGAGATATTCCAGTCTGAACTGTCTTTTCATATCAGTGAAAATCAAGAGTTACTTGATTATGGCAATGAGTTACACTGGTACAAAGTAAGTATGACAGAGGAGAATCAAGCTTCATAGACCTATTGATATGTGGGATATTTCCCAAGTTTATTTTACTGTAATGAACACTTGGAAAAAAAACCCCAAAATATTAAAGGAAACTCATGTCAATTATCTTTTTATTTTTACCTGAGCCAGCACCACCTCCTCCACTGCCATACATTCCACCCCCGCCACCTCCTGCACCACTGCCTCCACCATAGCTGTCAGAAAAGTTAGGCATCAGCTTCTGTCGCTTCCTCTGCACTTCTTCTTTGTCTGTGTTTTAAGGAAGAGAATGAAAGAAAAACAAAGAGGTGACTCAATTCTCTCTCAATGACCAGCTGGAGACAGAAGAGAGCAGTGGTACTGAACTGAACATGTTACTAAAAACCATTAGTTTGATTTGAAGTGATACAGGAACAAAAATTTTTGAAAATGTTATCATTTGGGAACCAAAAGCACAGTTTTGGTTGACAGATAAATGCATTTTAGAAATGGCCACATGATTTATAAGTGTCAAACTATTGAACACTTCGATTTTCAGACATGCTAAGTACTTGTGCCTTCCACTTCTCTCTTTTAGGGTTGTGTTGCTAATTCAGCAATTTTTATATTCAGACCTAACTAAAACACAGAAGGCCAGAAGAATAAACCTTAAAGGTGAGTTTAAAGTTGGACATAAAAATAGCAAACTCTGCTCAGGAGCTGAAGGCAAAACATGCCTTAAATAGTTTATATTTATATATTAAACAAAAGTCTTCAACTCCATCAAAAACCACCTTATCAACTAATCAAAAAACTTCCCGTATCATAGAATGAAATATACGCAAGACAAAACTCATTAAAAGAGGTGCCACTGAATAGTGACAAACATTCTAGCAAAGAGAACACAGGCTCACTCCCAAGAGGCATGTGACAAATACGATAAGGACATTACATGCACAGCCACACCAGTCTAAGCACCAAACCCAACTGGTGAGCATATGGGACAGCATATGGAATGGTCTACATATGAATGCACAATTTGCAAACATTCACAATATATAGATATATGTGCATGTGCACAAAATGCATTCACATCCCAGAAGAGAAAAGACCCCAAAGTGTATCTAGCCCAGGAAACAGACATTTGTAAGCTTACTCAAACCTTTTCAACAGGAAAATAATCCTGCCCCAAATGCCAGTCTGTACAATAAGTTGGGCATGCATTGGGATACAAAACCCATTTGAAAGTCAGAAAAGTACCCAATGCCTAGTACAGTGGTGCTCAGATTTGAGGCACTACCCTACTATTATTAAATATGAACACTAACCACAATCTCATATTTCAATCAAACTAATTTGCAGCATGAAAGTCTTTAAAATATATTCATCCACTGCTTAAGTTTCCTGAAACTAATTACTTTACCCAATTACTTACATTATTTTTACACAAAAATAATCAATAATACCATCCCTCTTTTTGCAAAAAGTATTCCCAGGTTATTTATTGAACATAAGGGTTCAGAACATTCCTCTAATTTCAGTGAAATGTTGGTGGTGGGGAATTGCAAAACACCAGCCCTAGTCAGCCCTTTGTATCTACATTTCATTTGAACCAAAATGCCCTAGCAGGGTTTCAGTGATAACTCCAAGAAAGAGTGCCATCCACTGTATTGCTACTATAAGGGACACCACTTGGCAGTAACTTTTTGTAGAGAAATATTCATGCATTTACTGCACAGTAATCCAATATAAAATAGCTAACTGAACCCACTTGGCTGTGATTAGTTTTCCACTACTTCTGCCTAACGTGAATAGTCAAATGCCTTGAAGGTGATAAAGAAATTTTCTGAAGGTGATAATAAAGAAACGAGAAAGTTGACCAATGTGTGCCCTATCTTTCTCACAAATACTCAATAACTCTGATATTTCCCCATGAACAAATGAAAACAGATCGAATTACCTTTGACTTCTGGATAGTACAGAAAAGGCTTTGGTTCACTTGTTTCCAGATCAGATTTCCGTCGCAGTTGAACAAATACAGATGCTGGTTTTGTGATATTGACATCTCTGTACTTGGGGGTTTTGAACACAATAGCAAACTGTGAACAACATGGATCAGCAGATTAGTCAGGGACACTGTTTTCTGCAATAGGGTACTGCTTTACATCTTAAGGTTTTTAACTTTGTGGGAGTTTGGAGGAAAATTATTTCTGCATGATCTGACAGAGAGGTAACAAGAAGGTTCTGCACTCTGGATAGCAGTGGCATCGGTGGCTGGATTGGTGCTGGACCAGAAGCAGCAGCAGCTCCATTCTCGCAACCCCTCTATGCTGGTGCCCATGGTTCATGCCCTAGTTTTCCACCCATAGTTACACTACTGGTCTGTCATAAATATAAACCGCTGTTTTATTTCTCATTTCTACTTTGAAGTTCATTAAAAATGAATGTCCATTTTAAAAGGCTGAGTTGCCTTGAGAGATACTAAAGCATCATACTTGGCTATTAGGTTTTCCTCTGTTACTTTTTCCACTCTGAACAGATTTCTCAGCGTCCCTGAAATAGTTAACTCATTTTTGCCATGGAAGTTCTTTGCCTTGGTATATATCCCTTTATTATTTAAGGACCACATTTTACAGATACCTTTTAATTAAGATTTTAACTTTTTTCATCTGCATCTATCATTTATCTTTAAATGAGGCAGAAGAATTACCAAAAGAAGTTAATGACAGGAAAGATTAGTTCGGGGAATTAACCTCAATGGTTCCAATCTAGTTTTAGTTGCTAGAGAACTAAAAGAAGGCAGGGCGGATTTGTACCTTACAAACTAACTAAATTAGAGCTGGAGAAGCTTTTATGAATATTGGCTTGCTTCATCATAGCATCTGAGAAAGTAAGCAGAGGCTTATGTGTCTCTGATTTTAGGTATAAATCTACCCAGCCTTCTGTGTGAATTCAGGCAAACACAACTAACACTCTACAGAAGTGAAAGTCATCCACAAGTGATAGCTCTTTGGTCACTTACCTGTCTATGTACATCTGTAGGAGAAAAATCTCCAAAACCTTCCCACATTCCACCATTTTCATCTTCCTCATAAAAACGAATTTGAATGTCATCTATGATGATTAGGAGAGAGTTAATGAATGAACAAATTATGGGTTTTAGGCTAGTTTTATTTCTAAAACAAAAATAATATGCTGCATGGCAGTTCTAACAGCTCATTTCAGGAGATTTTACTTTTTTCTTAGCATTAAAGTATACTGCATATGCAAAGTGAAGATTAAAGATTTCAGGGTAATGGAAAAGAATTCTTTCTAATGCTGAATTTCACCCAACATTTCTTTCCTGTGGTAACATGCTACATTAAGAATACATTTGTCATCTTTATATACCATATTTACTCAAATACAGGATAAGATTTCTTCCACTCAACCAGCATGGGGGGGTGAGGGGGGAAGCCCCTCATTTTACACTTGCATACAAGGAAATCTCATTAAATATATTGCCCATCATTAACCTGCTGCCAAAAGCAGCACATGCTCAGTAATGGAAACCATCTATGAAGTTGACTATTCACAGCCAACACTGAGCATTACTATAGAATACATGGCCCATAGTGGACAAACATACTGATAGGACCTTTTTTTGTGGCCCTTATAAAATGGGTGGATACTCCCTCTGCAACAAACATGGCACTGGGCCTGGAGGTACCGCAATACCAGTCTGGCACTGGGAGGGCCAGAGCCAGTCTTGATACTGTCCCTTTAGTGCCAAAAATGCACTACATTTGATCTTAATCAAAAAGGCCAAGATGCTGATAGGAACTTACCACAAAGATAGGTCAACCTATCTGAATAAGATATATGGCAATAGTCACTGAGCAGTTTTCTTTAGCACCAACTCTTTTCCAAGTCATGGTGAGCCACTATATTGCATACGGTTCTACATCCTCTTCACTCCCACAGCTGAGCAGTGCCTTTTCTTTCCCATTTCCAATGACTCCTATTTCCTCACCAGCCTTAAATGTCTGGCAAACATCACCAAATGGGGCTCCAAACACTTCAGCCAGAATCCCTCTTTTGACCCCTATCTCAGCTTATCACAAACTATTAGTGTTGCCCCACTATTAGCTTATCACAAACTATTAGTGGACCCTTTGTGTAGAGGTATTTGCAGTATACACACGTATTGAGCAGAGCTGCGCTGCGGGTCATCACGGCCTGAAATGCTGTTGACTCTGCAGGGGTCCATCCCAATGAACTGTACAATAAGTCATGAACCTTTTGGCTTTGGACTAATACCATGCATAGTTTGTAGGTACAAAACTGCTGCTTAAAAACATGCGTATGGAGTACCTGTGTTAAAAGTTGCAGCAGTTTCAAAAAAGGTAAATGCATCAATTCTGGATGAACTAAGTCTATGGGTACTATACACAAATTGTTACAGGTATGTTTATTTCAAAGTCAGTATTTTCAAATTTACTGCTCACTTCCGTGTGTTCAGGAAGAGCAGGGTCTGACTGTAAGGAAGGGGAGAAAGGTCTGCAGAAGGAAAAAGCTGGGTGGAGGCAGAGTGCAAGGGAAGATTTATTTTCCCTGCTGTAGTAGTGGGAAGAAAATAAATTCAAGGCAAACCTCCCATAATTAGACTCAATACCTGGAAAATTATAACAAATTTGTAAGTTTCCCATATATTGAATCTAATTATTGGGAGGGTTGTTTTATAATCAAGGTTGTCTTATATTGGAGTAAATACGGTAGATCAATTATGTTAAAGTATTATATGAGGTCTAATTCTGATTTCACTTGCACCAGTTTTACATCAGCATAATTCTAGTGACCTAACTGGAGTTAATGTTTATTTACACAGAGGTAAGAGGAAAATTAAACCCTCTGTCCCTTCTTATTCCAAGGTTAAAAGGAATTTCTATAGCAACTTTATATAGAATAACTGCAAGGAAGAAAGACATGACGGCATCAAAGACAAAAATCCCGTTTCTAATCGTCTAAATTCAGAAAACTGAATCAAACCTGAACTGTTCAAGTTTTGACAAAAAAAAAAGAGTAACTTCTGCACTAGAGCTAAGCATGACAGCAACAGTCCTGAGCTAAGACACTCCAGCAACGCACTTCATCTCCATGTCATAAAGTAGTAGGAGAGAGAAAGAAGTTCCATCTCTGCACAAGCTTCTTTGAGGAGAAGTAGAAATAGGGTGCCCTGGATACTCTTTCTTTGGTTCTCTTGGTATGGGGGGGAAGGAGATGAATAGGGAGATTGAGGAAGGAGGGAGGTGAAACTGACCAAAAAAAAAGTAATAAAATTTTCTAAGTGCTATTGATGGGAAGGGTCATTGGAGCTTCCTCCTAACCCTGACTCGGTCAGCAGCAAGACTGAGAATGACTACTTCCCCCCCGTTGCCCTGTGCGTTGACATTCTTAGAGCACAAAGATTTCAGAGGCAATAGGATTGGGGAAATCCCACACAGGCTAAGGGGAAACCCCACTTTGGGGCTTCCATTTAGTCATCCTTTTTTTTTTTTTCTTTTAAAGAAATCTTACATTTTACTTGATCCTCTTAAAAGCAGAAGGGTTTACAGTACAGAGGGGAGGAAAAAAAAATTCTCAAAACTCCATCAGTTTGTTCCCTAGATAACAGGGTGGCATGTTCCCATGCCCATCTTTACCATAGTCTGGAATAACAGAAATGCTTGAATCAGCCTAACATCATGGGAGGGAGTTGACTCTCTAGTCAGGTGGAAAACTAAGCACATCACCACAGATCTAAATTGGAGCAGTGGTGCCCAGTTGTTTCACGCTATTGCTTGAAATACTCAAATCTTCGAATTTTTGTGTTTAATTCCATTCATGTGAGCTGGGAATCAGAATTGTGTAAACAACCAATAGCTAATATCTTTACATTTGTGCATCTAAAATGAGGTGTTCAAGCCCACACTTAGTTTCTGATCCTGGAAATACAGAAGACCAAGAGTAGTGTTTGCTGCTCTGAGTCAGTGGGATGTCTCAAACTGCACATGCACTGTAATTCTTCATGTTCAGCTGCTCTGACATCTACGTATATAAGATGCAGTTTTCAGCAGAGCTGGGCAGGTGCGGCTCACATTGGTCACTGTAGCTGTTGGGGGCCACGGGGTGGGGACAGTGAGTCCAGAACTATATATACCTGATGTTTCACCAAATCCATGAGCAGCTTAGGGGCTAGAATACAAATTTTAAAAGGGACTGAGGTGGTACCCTAACCCCTGCCTGCTGCTTTGAGAAGGAGACCTGCAAACCATCTCAAACCCCAACATAAATCCATCTACTTTGGAGTGGGAAGTCTTTTCACCCATTAATCCTAACAACTGCTAATCTGATTTTCAGAAATGCCGAGAACTTGCTAATTGGGCTGAAGTCAGTGGGAGCTGTGGTAGCTCAGCCCCACTGCACATTAGTCCATCACTGCAAGTGTTATGCACTGGTTACATGAAAAAAGCATCAATAACTTTAACCAAATGGGTTGACTTGAAACACTGGACAGTTTGGAACCTTTACCTTTTTGAACCTTATCACAGAGAAGGTAAATCTCTTCTCCTCCTGTCACACATCCTGCTGTTCTGTCCATTCTTACAATCTTTAAATTGGATGCATTGGGGGCTTCTGTTGAAAGGGATGAGTTAAAACAAGAAAATATCATTTTCTCTGATGACAATTCTAGGCTAAACAGAAAGCACAGAAATATGATAAAAGCTAAGCCACAAAAAAGATCCACATGACAGTCTGAATTTCTGTTTTAATGAAAGAGAAGAATAAACCCATTACTTGGAAAAGGTATGATCTCATAATTCCCTGCAAAGGAGGCTGACTTGCTTGAGAATTTTTCCTGACTACAGTAGAACTTCACTCACTGCAGTGTTACTACAGCGCTACCACTGTAGCAGTAAAGTAATGTAGAGGTGAATCAAAATCTCAAACTCTACACTGGCTGAAAGACAGATGAGAATGGAGAATATTTTTTTCTATTGTTCTCCTGGCATGTGCTAATGCAACAACAATGAAAAGTAGCTCTCTCTTTGTTCTTAAATCTCTTGTTTCTGCTGTACAGTCTACATGAAAATAATTTTTAATCTCTGTCCAACTTGGGGTTCTGGCCACAAAGCCCACTTGTGACATGGACACTTACTACTTTTAGCAGAGAGGCCAAGGGTTGCGTGCACCATGGAAACAGCACTACCATCTCCCCATAAAAAAAGCACTGTACCTCTAGGTCATGTATGAGATAGACTGCCAGGGCAGTGTGGCAGATGCTTTCTCTGCCACTAGCTGTACTTGGTCTGTGGAGGATAACTTCAGGGGCACCACTCAAAAGGACTAACTTTACTTTAAAACACATTAAAAGAATGAATATAACCCAGTTCTTTTGAAATCAACAAAAAAATACCCCAAACATTCATTTGATGGGCTCAGATTATCAAATGACTGTCATCAGTATAAGACATTTAATAGCAAGAGAAGGAGGTACATTTCCTCCTCTACCCTCCTCACAAACAGAAGGTAGACTTTGATGCTCAGACTTGAAAAAAGCATAGGATAACATCAACTTCCTTTTAGTGTGGCTTAGTGCATGCTGTAACTAGTTCAACTTGTACTCTACCCTCCCCTCAGTATTTTGCTTTATACTGACATGTTTATTACAGTAACGAAATCAAACTGAAACTGTAGCAGTTGCTGAAGAAAATCAATGACACTCCTTAAATATACTGCTCTGTACTTCAATTCAGACTCCAGATCAGAAGTCTGACTTTTCCTTTTCCAGAGCCTGAAAGTAATACATATTACATACTTGTATCATTCCTTTATACGCTCTTTCCAAATTATTGCCGAATGCATGGCAGTAGGTAGGAGTATTGAAAAATTAGAGACACTTCAGAGGTGGTAAAAGTTTTTACATGGAGATACTGAAAATATTTGGATTGTTTAGCTTGGAAAAGAGACACAAATAGAAGGGATATGATAAAAGTACCACTATAAAATAGTGGACGACCTAGGAAAGGCAGATCAAGAACTACTGTGCCTGTCACAAAGCACAAAAACAAGCAAACAGTCAATTAAATTAAAAAGATGGCAAATTCAAAAATGCTAAAAGGAAATGCTTTTTCACACATGTAATTAGACTGTTAATCTGTCAAGAAGTTGAGGCCAAAATCATTGTTAAGATGCCAAAGGCAACAGGATTCTTATACAAACAGTATGATAATTCTAGATATTCTGAATTAACAATGACCAAAAATTGTGGGAGTAATATTAAAACTTCATACTTCAGGGTTTAAGCCAATCCCTGACTACTGGAAAGTAGGAAGAGACATAATGTGTCTAGAGGGAGTACGGAGACCAGCTTCTTATTTTCCTAATTATTTTTCTCCAGAACCTTTTTCCTTTCATTAATCAGAACCATATACTGTTCTCACTTGCACTGATGTAATTAGGAGTTATTTTACCAACTTCCATGGAGTTACCTCAAGTGTACACCTATGAGATCAGAATTGGATAGAATGTAACTATTTTAAAAAAATTGCAATACCTTTGTTGTTTTTTGCACAACATTGGTACCTGTGTCTCAGTATCTGTTGTTAGCATATACCCTGGTGTTTTTGTTTTGGGATTCTACTTCAAGAGTCAGGGTTTGTTTGTTAACCATATAATGCAGAAAGGCTTCTAGTGGAGCACATCAATTTTTGCTACTGACTACTCTCTTTGGAGTAGGGACACTAGACAGACCCTAGGTCTGACCCAGTAAAGTCATTCCTATATTCTGTGCTGCTAAGGGGAAAGAGGTGAAACTTGTAATTACAAAAAAAAAAAATAAAAGTCAATCCTTTTGTACTCACTGCTGTCATATATGGGATCTGATATGACAGGATCAAGTCTTCTTGTGAAGCAGCCATTGCTGTCAGGGAGGAAGGCTGTGAACATAAGGCGCACCACGCTGAGATCCATCTCTTTTGTCTGCTGAAATGCTGCCTGGCGAATGATTTCTTTTTCCCGATCTGGAACCAGTCAATGGCACAGATAAATTTATGCAAAAAGAATCCTACTTCCAAAAAGTATTGACAATTCTCACCAAAAACTGCTTTGATTTGGTTATTACCATCTTAACCAGCAGCTTCAAGTCTTTAAGAAATTTGAGGAGGGGCAAGTCATAGGATGCTGCACTTACTGTAACATATAAAATTACTTCCCTATCTATCTGCTTTTATTTACCTACTCAAAATTGTGCCAGGTACTTCATAGACCTGAAAATGGTACAATCCTAGCTTTCTGGAGTTTAAAATAGGCAGGAGTAAGACAGAAAAGGGCAAGGTTCACCCATATAAGATAGTGCAGTTGTTTAACCAAGAATTACACTGAGAAGCCAACCCTACAGACAAGTCTGCACTACCTCCATGAAGAGCCCAGGAACATAGCTGAGAAGTTCATTCCACACTTGCTCCTGCTCAGCAAGTATCAAAACCCAGAAACCTGGTAGTATATCCAGCATAAAGCTGCCCCTAGCACTTGCGAGGAAGCATGCCTAGGAGTGACTCTGGGCACGTGCAGCCCAGGCCTTCCATAGAGAGAATATTAACAAGCAAGAGGTACTTGCCAACTACTGGCCTGTGCTGTAGAGCAGCAGTTGTCAACAGGGGGTATGCGTACTCCTAGGGGTACTTAAAAAGGTCGTACAGGGGGCTTCCACCATTGCATGCACCCCAGTGGAGGCCCTGGGGAGATGTGCCCCCCTGATCTGTGCATAGGCTTTGCATGCCACTGCAACTGTCCTGAGAGTGGTGTGATGTCACGTGCTTGCCGCCACTGAGCTGTGCTGTGCCCCCTGCCCGCCCGGTCATGGCACGCATGTCGTATCGCACCACTCCCGGGCAGCTGCAGCACCACGCAAAATCCAGTGTGCAGCGGCAGCCACCTCCACCCCACACACAGATCAGGGGGGACACATGGCCCCTGGGCCTCCACCAGGGTGCGCACAGCAGTGGGAGCTCACCCCCGCCCCACCCCTGGATGAGCCACCTGGTTTCTGATTGTCCCATGACCTGACTTGGCAAGGGCTCCATTCACTCCAGCCCCTGCCCCTGTCTGTGCCCCACTCCCTCCCTCACCACAGGGCCCTCAATCTGCACCCATGTGGCCCTTTCCCCTCCCCTACATACATACCTGCTGGGCGGATGGGGGACCTGTATATGCACATGTGTGCACTCAGCCCCCTCCCCCTCAAATAATGTTAATATAAAGGGATACATGAGCTGAAACTCTGAGACAGAAGGAGTACACTTGTTAAAAAAGGCTGAAAACCCTTGCCATAGAGTGGAATTGGCCCTTCTGTCCTTCATTAACTGTATGCTACTGCTGGGAATAAGGCTGATTCTAGACTGCAAGGATGTGCATGAACTGGGGACTGAAGGGGGGATATGCTTTTTTCAGAGCTCTTTATAACCATCAATAAGTTCTGATGATTCACAATAACAATACAACATGACTCCAACTATCAGCCTATTAAGCAACATTATGGTTGGCAGTAATGGTGGCAATGCTGGCAGATAGTTTAGTTTTAACTGCATGTTGGCAACAGACCAACCCTTAAAAGCATGCAAGCCTCTCAAAACCGATGTTTCTGCCTAGGCCTTATCCTGGCTGGGAATCAATCCTCTCAGGGCTAAAACCAGTTTTCAGCAGGCGTGCCATACAAGCCAAAGATACTTTCTCACTTACCTGATAATTGTCTTTCTCCACATCCTTCTACTTGGAGATAATTAAGTTCAGGATGCACTAAGAGTCCGGGATTGTACCCTTTTTTACAGGCATCTATCATGCGTGTTTCTAGAGTTTCAAATACTTTCTTCTTGGTGACGTGAAGTATTCCAAGGTTTGCAAACCTAGAAAAATATGATCATGAGAAACGTTTTTAGTTCCTTATGCACAAGCTGCAGTATGCAGTCTCTCTTTGTTACCGTAAGAGCTTAGAACATGATTTAAAACCACTAAAGTTAGTGGAAAAACTCCAAGGTCATTAGACTACTGAGGCAGTACTGCGTTCTCAAAAGCAAATTTTCAAATGCGGGTGCTTCAGTAGCTTTTTCAAACCTGATGACTTCACACTGAACTATACATCTGCATAAGCAGTAACTTGTTTTGTACATATGGTTATGGTGTGGATGCAACTTAGGAAATCTTTGAAATGTTGATACTCATTACATGCTCCAACTTGATTTTGGCAATGACAAAAAATGAGCAAACTCAGGAATTCGGGATTTTGGGAGCAAACTAAAACCAGTACAATGCTGTCTAAAGGACAAGAACTTTTTTATTATGATGCTTATTAGGCACTGAGCAGGGTAGATATGCACCTTATAGACTAACTAAATAAGATATGTACATAGATCATAAGGTTTTGTGAACTCAAGCTCACTTCACCAGATGCACAAAGTAGTGCTCACTTCACCAAAGGACAAGCACAGAGTAGTTTATAAAGTGAAGTGAATGATTTTAATACACAAGATGGGAAGAAGTGAGGGAGGGGAAAGGGAGAGGGGGTTAGTATTAGGAGAGGCATACAAGCAAAAAAACCATAGGAACAAATGGGTCACAAAAGTTACTCCAGGTAATGGGATAAGAATCCATAGTCCCTGTTTAAACCACACTTAACACAGTCTGTGGATGATTTCTTGTTCCACAATTTCCTGTTCTAACTTTTTTAAAAGTTTGCTGTCTGAGAACATCAATTCTGAGACTAGCAATGGGATGTCGAAGGAGGTTAAACTGTTCTGCACCCCTGCTTAGCACTCTTAATTGATTCCTGAAAAACCAAGCATTAAGCAAAACTGAAAGTATTTGACGACCCAAGATAGCAATCGTAATTGTTTTTAATGACCCAAGGTGGTGACCAGGAGCATTATAATGAAACTCACTGAGCGCTAAGTGAAATCAGGTATCAATTTCAAAGGCATGTTATAGTGAAATAGCAGTAAGTTAAACAGCGTTAAGCGGGGGTTGCCTGTACTAGGTTCTGGCCATTCAGACACTGCAAGTAGTGGAAAATTAGAAGATAAGACCTATATTGAAAAAAAGCTGCTGACACATTCAGAATCACTAGTTACATCTAGAAGCATGACCACGGAGACAATAATCCAGTTTTCGTACGGACAGGAATGATTATGCTAATTATCTCATGGAAAGCCAGACAGGTTACAGGGGGAAAATAAAAGCCCTTTTCAAGATGAAAAAGAGTATCCAAACAAAGTTATTTAAATTGCCATAATTAAAGTTAGGTTAGCCTATTGGGCTTTAAACATCAAAAAGGTACAAACTTCAGACACTTGAAAGTTTTTCTCCCTCTCTCCAATTTTAGAAAACTTCATCTTCACCAAAGACATGCCATAGACCATGAAACTTACAGCAGTCAGCCTGAAACCTGATCTACAAATTTAGCTTGAAACCTGAAAATATAAATTTATAAGCCTGAGTACTTTAAACTAATACAAACAGATACTGTTTTAAGTGAACAAGAACAAACTAATCATGACTTTGGTACAGTCTTTATTGTTTTAACTGTACACAGCTTTTAGTAATTTAATGACAGCATGTTTATACCTCTTAAATTTCTTAATTAATTTTTAATTTCTTACTTAATCATGTATGTTTTCTTAACACCTATTGAAGGTGACTTGAAAATTTAAAAGAAATGCAATATTGGTAAGAATTTAAAATATCCAGATTTTCTCTCATAATTCTGCCTCCTCCATTTCTTAAGCAATATACTTACATTTTTTAAACGTTTTAAAAGCATATTGAATAATACAGAAAAAGTGACTTAAGCTCACCAAATTCCTATTAATGATTATCTGCTTAATTTTCTAGATTATAATAATTTCAAGATACATCTCTACTTCTGACATTTCAATGCTTATCTGCTGGGTTAAACAGACCAAATTTACTCCTGTATTTTAAGCTAAGAAAAAGAACAGAGCAGAAAATGAAGGACTAATACATTTTTACCCTCACAAATAACTATTTTTTAATATTTGATTCTCTGTCCACCACAAATGTTTGCCACAGACATGTCAATATACTTACCCTACCGCCATATCCTTTGGTCCTGCATTAACTGTACATACTCCATCTTCACAATATTTACCCACCAAACTGTGTGCATGCAAGTGGACAGACTTCCCATTGGTGACTAACTGAACGATTACTTTTGCAGGCCCAACATAATTGCAGATCTGCGAACAAGGGCAACAATTATTTAAAAAAACTGAACAGATTCTGGTTTCATCCAGATATTTTATAACACTACTAAATCTGAGCATACAAATTCACATATAGGAAATCAATATCTATTTCTACCAGAAACACGCATAAGATGGTTTGATATGATAAAATCATTTAATCACACAGAAGTCTTCTAATTTTTTTTGAAAAAATTAAAAGTGAAAACAACACAAATGACAGGATTAAACATAATTCATAAGAAAATAAAAATGTTGACGTACCGACTTCTTTTTTAACAGGAAGATAAATGTTTTACTTAGATCTTTTATACCAGACTAATTTAGAGATTAAATTCCATTCACTATATTTTACTGACACTGCATATTAAGATGATTAAAGAAAATGGTATATGTTTGAAATGAAAAACAATGTTTTGCCCAATGTGCAAGTGGTGAAGAAATTTAACAACATTATGAAGACTACTACATTCCTTTAAAATATTGTTATATTCTCATTACAATAACCCTCTCTGGCAGAAGTTTTACAGTGAGACATCTGAAATGAAATTAATTCTATATTAATTTAAAACACTGCATTCCCACATGGCACCTGGAAGCATTGAATCCATGTTTAATATTATTTGTGTGCACAGGCCCATTGTGGTCTCACTGAATTATACATGAGAATACAGTTAAATCTGTGCCTAAGACTATACTATACATGGTCAAGGCTATGACAAACTGTAAGCTTTGGTACCACTGTTGTAGAATCAGATGTGCAGGCGTTGGTCCACAGATCAAATCCAGCACTCAAAGCTCTAGCACATCTAGCTCACTGGGCTCCCCACAGATTCAGAAATTTGGCAGCAGGACGATCAGTGGCATTGTTAGCAAACTGGAGCAATTCATGCTGCCCCTGCTCCCCTACTATGACATTTCCAGACCTGTAGGAAGCCCTGTGGGCTAGGCGATACAGCTCCACAGGCCTAATCTCTGGTGTAGAACTGTTTCCACCACAGTTTCTTGTAATATCTACCCTTCTGACACAGGTTTTTAAGTGGTAGCTATAAAAGAGTAGTATTATGTATTAGAAACTGCAGGTTTTTAAAAGCAGATCCCCCACCCTCCTACATACTACAGTTAAGGCACGATTAACCAGTTAATCGTGCCTTAAGTTCTGATCCAGCTACACATTCAAATAGTTAATGGCATGATAAAAGAAGCAAAAAGTTACAAAGTTATTCCACAAAAAGGTGCAATAACTTCATAGCTTGTACTAGTCGCGGCATTAATTGAACGTGTGGCCAAGTACTTCCCTGTGGCTGGGGGCCCCAGCGACTGAGGCACCACCTATTGCCAGACCTACAGCTGACAAAGATCATAGAGGTAGCAGTGTTTCCTATACTTCCCCCACTGTGAGCCTTAGCAGCAGCAGTGCTTGCAATGGGAAGAATGTTGACCCTCCCGTGAGCCTTGTAAGGTATAGGGCTTGCAGTGAAGACAGTGCAAGGAACACTGCTCCCCCTGTGAGCGTTGTCAGCTTCAGGGCTGCTGATGCTGCCTCACGCTCCCAGAAGTTCCCCTGCTGCTGGGCTTCCTGGGGCTCCTCCTGCACTGGCAATAAGGCACGATGGGATATAATGAGCAATCCCACAATGCACCTACCTCCTGCCATGCACCTGTGGCATGGCAGGTGGCATGACTGTGGATCATCATTAGATCCCATTGCACCTTTACCTGCACATGTAGAGGGGCCCTGAACTATATAAGGAATTTAGTTTACTTATCTATTTATAAGAGATTTACTTTGTGCATTATATCTTTTAGATCTCCATCTAGGTTTCTCCATATTGCATTAATCAGCTCTATTATCAATTATATATATCTTTCAAAGTATACCTAGTACAAACTTGTCAGATCCAGCATCTCTTACACAGCCTTCCCTAGTTTGACTTCCTTAACTAACCATTTTATCAGTAAGTCTTTCTTCATGTTTAACACTGAATAACAACCCTCAAGCAAAATCCTTTTGTACAACAGGAATGTGTAGATTTTATCCACAAGGATATGAAAGGGTGATGGTAAACTTTAAAGGTAGTGAACAAACCTGCAATGAATTATTTCAGTTTGTTAGGTGGGCAAGACACTGATGCCCACAAATCACCATTTCACTATAACTGGTCTTGCTCACTTTCTTTTTGCCCTTTCACCACCACCCCAGTTCCATTTCATAGCAGTTGGAAGCCTCAGCATTTGCTCAGTGCCCTCCCACTGCTCCAACAGACTACTAAAAACATCTGTTCCAGGAGGCATGCATATATGTAAAAGTACACTTAATGCTTCTTGACTGTACTATTCTATAATGATGCTAGTTGTGAAAGTATGCTGTGGGCTAAATGCAACTAATATGAACTCTGAAATTGTAATCCTAACTCCGATTGTGAATCGACCTACAGCCTTGGATTATTCATCGTCATACACAACTTAATTGTCTCACTTTTCTTATTAATAAAGGTAAATAATACTAATTATTTGCCACCTTCAAGAGGGTATGATGATTATTACTTAATGTTTGCAGAGTGATTTGAGAATAAAAATTGTTACATAAATCTCAATAGCAGCAGCAATGGTAACAACTCTATAGAACAGGTCTTCTTGTTTCCTGTTTTTGACATATGCAGATTCCCTGGTCTTATATACCTATATTAATATTTCTAATTTATGTCCCTGATCTTATACACCTACATTAATATTTATCATTTTTAAGGTGTGTAATCTTGGCATACCAGAAGAGTTTAAAGCAGTTCTATATCAACTGTAGAAACCACACTGAAACAGTATGTTCAATGTATGTATCCGTATGTTCAATTTCAATATTCAACAGTATGTTCAATGTGTGTATCAGTATGTTCAATTTCAATATTGCTGTTGAATTGTGGACAACATTCACAGTATTTCACAATTAATTCAAAATTTCATCTGAAAACAGACAAGCTTCTTTGGGAAAATCTGATATCTTTTATTAGACCAACGCAAAGATATTGGATTTACCCAAGGAACCTTGTTGCCCATGTCCTTAGACTAACATGGCTATAACCAACACCCCTGAAATCTGAAAACAGGTAATTTACATATGAACTAACCAAATCTTAATACTAAGAGCTCAGAAATATGGTGACAGACAGACTCTGTATATACTGTTTCTAGAAAATTATATAAAATGTAATGGTACTGAATACTTAAAGGATGCCAATATAAAAGAAGATAAAATGCAACAAGAATAGTAACACTTGTACCAGCAGAATATTTCTGTTTTGTAGTGTTCATAAACCAAAACAAACAAGGAAATAACCAAATATTTTAGTTTTAACATGGTAATGAGGATCAAATGAAAGGCAGAAAAAAAAAAAAAGAGGCAATCCAGGAATAGTATAAAGTTTTCTCTGCATCCAGTATTTCAAAAAGCAGCATTCTCTTCTGATTAAATCAAATATAGAAATGTGAGTCTACAGCATTTTTAAGTGACAGATTTGGTTTAGAGATTAAAGGTACACAGTCAATTTGAAATCTAGTCAATCGTTTGAAAGCACTTTCAGTTACTTCTCTGCTTCCCAAGTCCAAATTCCAGCTAATGTTATGGGTTTATAAAACACACTTCCCTATTTTAGAGATGTTTTGCCTCTTGCTCATGTGAGCAGGGAGCATAACTGCCTGGTAGGCTACAAAATGCAAATAGTGAAGCTAACCATAAAAGTTATGTGGAATACATAAAAACAAAATGCAAAAACTGTTAATCCCCCTTACTTGCTAATTAGTTTAATTTATAGCAACCAGAAAGAACACACCTCAAATCAGAAGGGACAGTTCTGTTAGACCTCTGTTTAGCTATTTCCACCCATAGGTATATGCAGGATGAAAGCCTTAGGTATTGTACAGAAGTAGGACATATTTAAATAGCTGTCTGAATTTGCTTTTGTTTGACAGTGTTAGACTAGGATTTTCAGACTTGATGCCTAAAAATGTAGCACACAAGTGATCCAATCTGACTGAAATCAATGGGAGTTGCAGATCTTCAGCTCCCCTGAAAAAAAAATCAAGCTACTCATATAGAATTAAGTTCTCAGCTTTAAGAACCCAAATGTTGGTCTAAGGATGTCAGTGGCTTAAATACAAGAACTCTCATTGACTTAAGCCTTGGCAGAATTTGATCCAATGAATTTTAACAGAGGCAAAGAGTTGTTATGGCAAATTTTGTTTATGCTTGGATATTAATATCAATCACGTTTGGCTAGTCACATTAAGCAGCTGAGGTATAAATATTCTCTTAAAATATACTTAAATCCCATAATCAATTATGCTAGAGTTCAATTTCTATGGGAAGAAAACTCATATAATTCTCTTTTTTTCTCCAGGAAGACATGTTAACTGAATCCTTAAAAAAATACTAGTCTGTAATCTCACTAATTTTAATAGGAACACTTTCTAGAGTCAAGGTATGTTAGGGTCAACCCAAATGATGAAAAATACAAAGCTTCCTAGTACTTTCCTTTTTCAGCACATCATCAATGGGTTTGGCAATTCAAGAATAATACTTGAGTTTATGGGTGTGTTTGCATGGCTCAGGACCTAAGCACCCAGTTTCATAGTTAGTAGGGTCAGAAGGGACCTGAGCAGACCATTAAGTCCGACCCCCTGCCATGGCAGGAAAGAGTACTGGGGTCAAACGACCCCAGCAAGGTGTTTGTTTAGCCAGCAGTGTTTGTCTATGCAAGATAGATGAGTATTTTCCACACAACAATTCTTGTGGATGTCTTGTGATAACTTTCCAAGTACATAAAATAAGCAGAGAAAAAGTTATGAATAAAGCAGTTCAGATGTTTCAATAAACAGATAACATAGGCTAGTCACGTTTCACTTTTGTGTTGTAAGAATGCCTTGAAAGACATGTGTAGGCTTACATTTAGTTATCTGCATGCTACACATGCTCTACCTTCTTCTTCATCTGGCATTAT